CAGTTTTCAGAAATACTTGTCTTATCCTTCTTTGTAGCTATAATCTAAGGATGTTGAGGCAAAACATTTGATTTCTTTTCAGCCTCCATCTTTAGATTTATCCGCTGTTCTAAGATGTTTGGATGGAATATGCTTGTGCCATGTAATACGACGCTGCGTGAGATGGGCTCTTTCCCATAACATAAGTCATGGGAATGTGACTGTGCTGTATGCAAAGAACTGACATTTCTGATATCACCAGGGTCTGTGGTACTTGATGATGTTACTAAGTTATTGCCTCCTTCGTGGAGAGCCTCAAGGCTTTTCAGCACTTCCCTCTGGCATTTGCTGTTTGCATATCCCTTCAGATATTTGGATAAATTTAATTTAGATCTGTTCTCCACCCAGCAAGCTTTGTTTGGTTGACTTCTCAGTCAAGGCCAGCTTGGGAGTAACTTAAAAGTAGGCACGTCAGAAGCTGCGACATGGTCCTCGCTGGCCGGGGAGCTTGTCCTCCAGTTCCCGTTCCCAAGCTCACTTGATGAGCAGCACCGGTGATGCCCAGGAATGTGCTGTGGCTCTGCTGGGTCTGGTGGGCTGTTCCTGGCTGTTGCTTTTCCAGCTGGGTACCTGCTCTGAGTGGAATTACAAGGTCAGAGATCTTGGTTTTTTATTTGTGATTGTATTGTAGCTTGTGTTTTCAATAGCAGGTTCTTGCTCAAGCGTGCAGTGTAGGCATCCAGGGTGAGAGAACTTCATTTGACTGCTTCCCCCATCCCACGGCATTAAAGAGCACAAACTAGCATCTGTTTAAAAAAAAAAAAACAACAAACCACCAAACAAGCAAGCAACAAAAAACCCCTGGCCACAGACACTAGAGGTGTCTTCGTGCTTGCTTTGTGTTTTTATGAAGTGAAGCTCTTAAGTGTTTGTCAGCTGCCACAGGATTTTGTTAAGTTTAATGTTTGTAAAAGGTGTTCTGCTCTGGTGAGCAGAAAAGCTCTAATTGCAAAGTGTTGATGTCGTAGTTCTTGAGATGTGCTTGCTAATCTCGGTAATCACCTCCAGGCATTTTATGCATAGGCCTCAGCTTTTTGGCCTTCAGTTTCTTTTTCCCTTAGTCTGGAAACAAAATGTTTGCCTTCGTGGAGCATATTCCAGGCTGTGCAGACTGGACTGGCTGCTGTGAAGCAGGTGTATCCCAGTCACTCCTCTTCTTACACCCTTATTTCTTGCTCTGTGTGCATTTTGGGGGTGTGTGTGTGTTTGCTTGCTTGTATCTAATCTGGTAGTGTGTCCGTGTTGTGATTTAGTGTGTTTTGTGTGTGTGAACCTCCTCATCTAGATTATTGTGCAAGAGCATCTCCGAATAACATCTCTGCACAGCCTGGTTTTTAGGTTGCAGGCTCCTGGGACTCATGCTGGTAGTTTAGCAAATCCAAGGTCAGTATAGCACCCCTGTTTGCTTTGATGCACGCCGGTGAGACGATGGCTTTTGTTAAGTAAGCGTCACACGGAGCAGAAGCGTGTCAAGCTTGCAAGGTACACGACCAGCTTCAGTAGAGACACGGCGTTGCTGGAATTGGCAAGTTCTCTCTGGTTGTGGTTACGCTTTGTGGCAACCAGGTGATATGGGAGGTGGACTTTAACTTCTGTTATTCAGCAATAAGGTGGTGTCCCAGTAGCCACTTTACTCTTAAAACTTCTGAGAAACCATACCCTGCGTTATGTTAGTGCAGTGTGGGGAGCGCAGGGATCCTTGGAGCACCTCTCTCCCTCTGCAGAGGTTGAGGAGGAAAGACGAGGTATAATGAAGCTCTAAAATTGCCCTGCAAACTGCCTATCAAAAAAGACAGGTTTAGATGCTGATACTGTGAAATCAGCGGAACTGCCTCCCTGATAGCTTTGATGGGCTTATCTTTTGTTGTGTGCTTTCGTATCTTTTTTTTGTTGGCACTAATCCTGATAGGAGGCACTCTGAAAAGAAGAGAACGCAGCTTCCCCTTGGGTGAAGGAACTTACCTAATTGCGCAGGAATGGTTTCATTAGTAAAGTTTGTCTCGCAGAGCCAATGCTGTAGCTTTGCGTGACAGTTGAAGTTTTTCTCTTTACCTTACAATCCTCCTCTAAAGCTTGCAAGGCTGCTTATGTATCTATATTTTAATGGGAAGAAATTACCGTAGTAATGTTCTGAGCAGTTTTAACCTGCTTAGGCTTTTATTATGGAGTCTGTAGTGACTTCACTCTCAAGTTTTTCAGAAAATCAGCCTTTTGGTGACTCTTGTTTCTACCCTTACTCAGTTTCCTACCAATTATCATAAACAGTCACTTAAAGTAGCAATTGTCCCCTGGGTCGAGTGTCAGGCTGTTCATTTTGCATAAGACATCAGTCCTGTGTTTACCCTGAAGATAGGAATTTTTTTGTATTCGTCAACAGGACTTCTTAAATTATAGATGACTGGATTAAACCATTTCTAGCTCTTCCTGGAATCCGGATGAATACCAGAGAGGCATATATTTAATGGCAGAAATTTCGCTTTGCGTGCAGTAGGGGGTAAAGCTGTGGTGGTGGAATTTTCTTCCTCTTTGCTCCATTAGCTCTTTTTCTTTTTAACCTGTTTTCTCTTAGGGTTATGTAGAGCATTATATTCCAGTATTGCATTTAAGTGGGTTGAATGCAAGTAATTTGTATTTTTAAATAAAGCCTTGAAAAGTGATTTGGCTTGTCTTCAAGATGAATTGCATCTCCAGTTGCAGAAAAGACCCCGTCTACTGTTAGTATTGAAATATTGCCAGTGCAGAGCAGACTTCAAGGATTAGCTTTTATTTATGTGCCTAAACTATTTTCTGTCTACGTTTGACAATGCAGATCAAGGGGGGAAGGATCAAACGCCAATTTAACACTCTCATTAGAATATTTATCTCTGTGTTTTCTTATAAATACTTGAAATATCTTGGTTTGTAGGTGGATAGTATTCTAATGCAAATAGTTGTTGAAGAGACGTCAAGTACATTGTCAGTCAGTTATTTCCATGGGTTCCTCACCTGGAGTTCTTCCTGTCTCGAACTCTTGCTTTGAGACTGAAAATACCATCTGCTGACCTCTTCTTTGTCGTCCCCTGTCAAAATCCCCTTTGGCTCTTCGCACGCCTCCCGTGTCCCCTTCTCAGGTTGATGAAGGAAAACCAGGACTGTTCACAGAGTCTGCCTTGGAAAGTGTAGGCTGCAGGAGGTAACGAACGAACTGTCTGACATTCGTCTCTTTGATCTGGTAATAACTTTTATGGACCATCGTTACTTTGGAATAGTAGATTTTGAAATCGCTGGCAGTTGGCAACAGCCTCCCGTTGGTATTTTGGTGTGTTGTACAGTGTTACTGTGCTTCCCTTCGACTTGGGAAGGGACTGAAATAAACCTTTACATGGCGGATCGAAAGCGAAGGGAGATTGTGTCCTTTTATATCAGTGCTAAATCTGCTCTTGTGTCTTTTTCCATTACATGGCGACACACAAGTATCTGTGTGGATCTTGAGATCTTTAACCCTTTTTCTCTCGCTGTAAGTTATGGGAGACACAGAGACTTATTGTTTGTACATGATGTGTGCATTTCATTCACGGAAACTTCAAAGCTGCTCTGGGTGACCCTGAGAGCATCCAACGTCAGTAACTCGCTGGCTTCCTCTGCTCCGCTTGCTCCGAGATGCTTTCAGTGCATGGGAAGCACCGAGTCCTGTCCTGCCGGGTTGTGTCTCAGCAGGTCCTGCTTGTGCATGTGCTTTTGGCACGTCTTCCCCATCCTTCCAGGCTGCGATCCCTGTTGGGAATCCTGCCGGAGCCATGCACTCCTGTCATGCAGAGGAAGCCAGCAAGGCTGGTCTTGCTCTTCCAAGGGATTCCCAAATTGTGCATCTGACTTCATTTTAATATTTACTAGAGCTGTCTCGAGTTTCTCATCAAAAAGGCACAACTTAATCTAGGAGTTCATGGGGGCAGGGGGGAGAAGAGCTGCATTAGCTAGAACTTGAAGTGTGCCCAGATAGCATGACACGGGCTGGCACCATCCTGGTCGCCCGGGGACGAGGCTGACCAATGCTGGGTGTCCTGACCTCGTCACCACCTTCACCGCAGCGCAGCATGGTTATAGGGGAACGTCTGAACCCGGTTATTGTCCCTCTGCTTTCTCCATGTAACTTCCTGATGACTATGGGTATATACTGTAAATAAAGCCGTTTGCAAAGATAACAAGTCTTAATGAAAGCACAGGCAACATCCAGCATAAATTGAATAGCCAGACTTGCTTAACATCCTGCAGTTGCGGAACACTAAATGGCAGGCATGAGGCTTTTTAAAAAATGTTTCAATTAAAAGATTTGAATTTTAAATCTGACTTTGTGCTTTTGACATTCTGCATTATACAGACTGATAATTTCTCTTGTTGATTACACCCAAGAAAAGAGGTATTTTAAAAATAGCGTAAAGCCACAGAACCTGACACCTTTCAAATAGGCAGAGATGCAACTGTTTCATTATATTTTTTAGAAATAGTGTTGGGTTGACATTGACATTCAGGTTTGAACTTGGGGGGGGGGGGTTACTGCCATATCCTGTCCTGTTGTTGGCTGTAACAAGCAAGAGAAAAAATGATTTTATAATAGGTGCACACTGGAATGTGAGCTGTGACTGGTCATCGGTTATGTTTTAGAACTCCTTGTGAAAAGGCAGAACTCCAGTAGGGGAATAAGGAGATTATTTTTGCTTTCAATTCTTCTTGGGGTTTATGTTCTTTTTCAATCTTTGCAAAAATAAATTTAAAAAAAAAATAAAATCCAGAGGCTGTGAGTATCTCTGCATTGCTGCCATGAGACCTAGACTGCATATCTTATTTTGACAGTTTTCCAGCGCGATTAGCCAGGCTGGCCCCTTCCTGTATTCCTGGGACTTGGAGGGAATCTGTGGGAGCCTTTGACTACTGCCTTCTTCCCTCATTGTTAACACTTGGGTTTGTTTCTCCCAGCTACAAAAATGTCCACGGATGGTGGCTTCGGCACAGCTGGCAATAGCGATGCCCAGCAAAGCCTCCAGTCCTTCTGGCCGCGAGTCATGGAGGAGATACGCAATCTCACGGTGGTGAGTGTCCTCATCAGTTGTGTTATTTCTGAAGAACTGACAGTGAATAGTGTCTGGTAGCAAGATAAACCTCAGCTCGGAATGTGTTCCTGCTGCTTATGGGATCCAGTAGAGTTGGCTATTTACACACTGCAAGGTGGCCTTAAGAGCTGATAAATGATCAGCCAGGCTTTGGACTATTTGCTATGACTGCCCAAATTTGAGATATAAATTGAATGTAGCTGATTTCTAGCATAATGAGATGTAATAGTCATGTCTTCCTCCTTAGTCCACAAAGAGCTGAAGGTAAAGTTGATTCAGAGATTCTTTTAGTGGTAACTGTGGCTGCTCTCTAGAGAATTGCAGAGGAATTGTTTTCTGTTCTGGGGGTGAAAGGGATGTGATTTAAAATAGTTACAAGTATAAGCGTGGCTGCCGTAAGCTGTTTTAGCTAACCAAAAATTGAGGGATTTGAGAATATACCTCACGTTGTACTTCATGGGCTGTTTAACTACTGTTCAAATTCTGTAACGTACAACGTGTGACCAACATGTGAGGGAACCCTTATCCACAGCAAAGGACGAGCCGTATCATTACACCCTGGAGGTGTTACTGTTCAAAATGCAACTTGGTCTTTCACCCCTTCATAAATTCAAACACCTGGCTATTGGCAGACAGTTCCGATTTTGTGAATGAATTTTTGGGTTTAGACTTTTGTATAGAATTATTATGCCCTCTTTCAGAACGGTCTCCTTTGACAAGCCTGAAGTTTTGAAAATCACTTGAATGCCACGCGCATCGTTATCACATGCTTTATTAATTTAAAGACGTTTGATCAAAAAAAATCATGCATAGACTGAGAATAAGAATTGGAATAAGTAGCTTCTATTTTTTCCATCCCCAAAAGAGATGTGCCTGAGAACAAGGGCATATAATAAGAATGACTTTTCAAGAGAGATTGATAGATTACTGTGATACAGTGGTCCTGAAAGCACACTCCTGTGCTTTTAATGGAGCTGAAAACAAAAGAACTCCAGTTGAAGACGGGCTGTTCAAAGTGAAAACCCCAATCCAGTAGTCTGAAGATAAGCTGCTTTTTTCAGCCTGTGTGCAGATAGTTGATTAAAGAAACAGATGTAGAAATTTGTATGCATAACCAGAATTAATTACTTTCCTCTTTCAGCACAGTGAATTCTTGTGTTCAAGAGCTGTAGTTTGTCTTCATCCCCACATGAAAGGGGTTTATTCTGCAGCTTATCAAGTATGGGCAGCTTAATTTTTAACTGTTGTATGAATCTATTTATTGCATTGCAAGCTACTAAGTCATTGAAAATTTAACTGAGGACAGTGAAGGGAGTTAGAAAGGAAAAGGGGTAACTGCAAAACATTCCTGTGAAGTTGCCCCCCGTGTAATCAAATCCTGAAATTTATTGTGCATCTTATTGAAAGTGCTCCTGTGGATGTGGACGTAAGTAAAGTTAAAGCTCGTCTTTATATACTGCGTAGCAGAGGTCAGACCAGCTGTTTGATGGAAAGTCTGCTTCGGTGGCCTGCTTTTCGGGGCTATCTCTGCCTGGTTTTGGGTGTTTGCCCTGTGCCACCAGTAGCTAAAATTCCAGGGGAAAAATAAGGGAGCTGCTTTAGAAGAACAAACTAGAGTTCTCTGTTGTCTGCCCCATGTAACAGAAAGGACTCTGTAGCCTAGTCTTGGAGAAACAGGAAACAGGACTAGGCTGAAACTTGCATTTCAGCTCTACGATGAGTTAGAAGAGGCCTGTGAAAACATTGAGACCTAATTTGGAAAAAAGAAAAGATGAAGAATTGGTGTCTAAAGTTTGTTCTGCTGGGTAGTAGCCAGTAGTGGTCATGCTTCCCTTCACCATGGTACTTGCGTATTAATTTTGATTTATGTGACATTTGTCTGTCTGCCTTAAAGGAGCTTTAATTTTTTCCTAATTTCTCCCACTGTCTCTCTTTTCTAAAGATTTTAATAACATTGTACCTGTGCACATCTACTTGCAGTTCTGCTGTTCATACAAGTTAATATACTTCGGAGTTTCACAAATTTGGAATTGTGTCCTCGTCTGTCTTTGAGGCTTGCTCAAAGGTCACAAGGCTCTTTAAAAAGGATCAAGCCTTAAAAAAAAAAAAAAAAAAAAAAAAAAAACAAAACACAAACCACCAATATCAAAAACCTCAAAAAAAAAAAAAAGCTTTGGGATATTTTTCCATGCCCTAGCAACCCCTGAACTTGTTTATGTGGCAGTTACTGGTTGAAAATGCTACCATGTGTTCAAGCACAGGTCCCAGGTCCCAGCCCTGGCTGCCCTCTTCTCCCACTGCCCCAAACCCCGCGTTCACCGGGGGTGCAGCAGCCCCCGGCACTGCAGGCACGGACAGCCCCCGCTCCAAGTTAGTTCTGATTTGCAGCATGTTACTGGGAGCACCAGGAGCATCACATTCACGGCTCCCTACAGAATGAGGGCGCAGAACGCTTTTTTAATAGATATGTATATAAAATAATGTGTATGAATATACATAAAGTTTGTATATATAAATTAAATAAAAATCCCCTACAGGAGTGCTGGCTGGACTGTGCACCACCTCCATATTTTGCTTCAATAGAAAAGAGCATTTTCAGCATTTTTCCCCTCTTTTGTTTCACTAACACGTCTGGCAGTGCCCTCTTCCCTAGAGAAATGAGTTTCCTTTTATTTTCTGTGACACTTCTGTTAAGAAGGGAAGACTTTTTTTTTTTTTTTTTTTTT